GGGGTGGAGAAGCAGCTCGAGTTTTCTCTTGAAAACAGCTGCTTTCTGCAGTTTGATTTTGTGTTTGGTGATTTTTTTTTTCCTTTCTTTACAAGGCTGTGTAGTTGCTTGCTTAAATACGCCTGCCTTTCTCCCTGCCGGGAGATGTACGCCCCCCCGGGCGAGGGGAGAGGAGCCCGAGCAGAAGAGTAGGGTGTTGGAGTGACTTTTTTAGTCACTTCGGATTTCCAACTCGTTTCTGTTTTTAAGTCCTTGAAAATGCGCCTGGGCCCCGGCTTCCGTGGTCCTGACACGCGTGGGCTGGCTGGCCCTGGGAACAGAACGGGACAGGACCTGATCCCCGGCAGGGTCCCTGTCGCTGCCTGGAGGCTTCTTGCCCTAGAAAAAGGCTTGTATTGCTTTGGACTGTTTGGAGAAGGCAGCAGGGGCTGGCCAGTCTTCCTCGCTGGGGCAAGCCTGTTAAGAAAGCCCCGGTTGAGCTTTCCTTATGTATTAGCCTTGCTCTGGAGTGGTGGGGAAGTGTAGAGGTGAAAAGTTCACCCGAGGCTGAGGAGCACTTTTGGAGGCTGTTGCTTGGTGGCTAAGACCTAGTTTATTGGCAGGAGTTGTGGTATTAATGGGACAGCTTGACAGCATTGCTTCTGGAGCAGGGCTTTCAGGGCTGCTGTGTTTTTCTGCCTGCAGAATGGCACGGGACTGCTGGAGATGGCAGCCAGCCCCGTGACTGAGAGGTGTTGTGCTCCTCCCTGGCTGAAGGAGCATATGGGGAAGGGCTCACGGTTGGGGTTGGTTTTTGTACCTTCCTTGCAGGAACCCCCTCGTCTGGTCTGCAGTCATGGCCACCTCGGCGAGCTCCCACCTGAGCAAAGCCATCAAGCACATGTACATGAAACTGCCACAGGGGGAGAAGGTCCAAGCCATGTACATCTGGATCGATGGGACCGGGGAGCACCTCCGCTGCAAAACCCGCACGCTGGACCACGAGCCCAAGAGCCTTGAAGGTGAGAGGGTGGGTGCAGGATCTGCAGCCCCTCGCCAGCTGTGCTTGACTGCACTGGCAAAAGGAGGCCATTTCGTCCTCTTCATGGCAGAAGGATGGTATTTGGGAAGACATTGCTTATCCCCTCCCAGTTACCTCCTTCCCCAGATACCTTGAGGGAGAATGTTCCCAGTTCTTCAGATATGGTGTATAAATGGGATGCCTGAGGTTGGGAGCTGGTCCCTGGCGCTACCCTTGCTGTGGAGGGGGCTTTTGGCAGGGGCTTGGGGATCCATTGACTCTCAAGTACCCGGTTTGGCCGGAAGTAGTTTGGCAGAAGAAAGTGGAGGGGAAAGAATGGAGCTATCCGGTGTAATTAAGAGCTTGTGTCCCTCAGAACAAACAGTCCCAGCTTACACAATAATAGCATTAGGATTTTCCCCAGGTTGCCATGGCGCTAGCTGGAGACAGTTATGAAATGAAAATACTGTGTGCGACTGAGCAGAATTATCTCTCTCTCTTTTTATTTTTTACTTTTTATTTTTTTCCCCTCTCCTTTCTCCTTTTTTCCCTCTAAGGGAGTGGTTGGCACAGCTCCTCTGAAATCTTTGTGCTGCCCATCCTCCCACTTTCCCCCCAGGATATGGAGGAGATAACATTGCCCGGGTGGAGTTCAAGACTGCTCCTGCTGTGCTGTGACCTGGTGGGGGGGGGGAACCCAAGCTGGCTGTGCTCCTCTCCCTTAGGAGACTCCACCTATACATGATTTGCTTTCCCACCTTCCCTGGGCCATGCCACAGCGATGAGGGTGTTTCACAGCTCCCCTTTTTCCTACAGCTTGAAGATGATGTTTCTCCCAGCTTGCCTAGCCACCCCTATGTGGAGACCGGGAGCTCTGCTCATCCCAGGGGTTGTTGCAACACGGGAAACGTCCTCAGTGCTGCTCAGATCATTGGCCTTGGCCAGCAGCCCAGCTCCTTGTATTTCCCCGGGTGGCTGGGAAGTTGCACTCCCCTGTTTTTTGCTTGTTGTGTGGTTTGGTGGTGTTTTTTTTTTTTTCCCTTCCCCCATTTGGAACAAAATCAGCTGAGCTGGGATGAAACCTATTGTAGGTTTGTTCTCTATAAGTGTCTTTACCTCTGTAATACTGGAGAGTGCTAGGGAGCCCGTCCTCCTGGTGACTGGGGATACTGGGTCACTGTGGCTTGTTCTCTTCACTCCCGATCTCCCCGAGTGGAATTTCGATGGCTCCAGCACCTTCCAGTCTGAAGGCTCCAACAGTGACATGTACCTGCGACCTGCTGCCATGTTTCGGGACCCTTTTCGCAAGGATCCAAATAAACTAGTTCTCTGTGAGGTCTTCAAATACAACCGCCAGTCTGCAGGTGAATGGACTTTGTCTCTTCTCCTGGTGGAGGTGGTGGCTCTGGGGAGAGGGAGACCTATCCAAAATGTCGTTTATATCCTTAGCATCATGCATGACACACAAATAATCCCTGCCCTGAAAGTAAAAGGCAAACTAAGGCTGGTGGTGGAGAAAGGGCTGGTCCTGGGATTCGTTACCAACGCTGCTGGGACACAAACTGTAAATAAAGTGGAAATGGAGGTGGAAGTGCTAATAAGGCTGATGTTGCTTTTCTGTTGCAGAGTCAAATCTCCGACACACCTGCAGGCGAATTATGGATATGGTGTCCAACCAACACCCCTGGTTTGGGATGGAGCAAGAGTACACTCTTCTGGGGACAGATGGACATCCCTTTGGCTGGCCTTCCAACGGCTTCCCTGGACCGCAAGGTAACTTCTTGGGAGTCTGCGCTGGAACAAGGCAGGAGTCCTTAATGCTGTGTTTGAGCTGTAATCCCCGTGACGCAGCTCCGGTGCTTCGGGCAAGCTGAAAGATTGGAGGTGTTTATAGAACTGAAAGTGGACAATAGCAAGCTGGGTGTTGGCAAAAAACTAACCTGGGACATTAAGAACGTTACAGAAAGGTTAAGAGGGTGATTGGCTGCACCCAAATTTGCTGTTCGGGTTGTTAGTCTGCAGGTGACTTAAACTCGTTCCTAGTGTGACTGAGCATGAGCTCAAGACTCAGAGGAGCTTGCTCTGCTCTGCTAATACTCCCATGAAAAACAGATTCTGAGGCTTTTCTACACATCCTGAGCCTTTCAGAGTTCTTCCCTGTGTGTGCTCTGTTTTCACTGGCTTTGTGCCTTTTCCCCTCTGGAATCTCACGTTCCCCTTGCTGTTCACCTGTGCCGTTGCAGGTCCATACTACTGCGGGGTAGGAGCAGACAAAGCCTATGGCAGAGACATTGTGGAGGCTCACTACCGAGCGTGCCTTTATGCTGGCGTGAAAATTGGAGGAACCAATGCAGAAGTGATGCCAGCCCAGGTAAATTGTTTTAGGTTCCTCGTGGAATGAGAGAGTGCACAAAAACCCCAGGCAGCGGGAGCATTTGGGTCCGAGCCACGTGGCTTTCTCAAGGATCAGAGCATAAGGGGTGGGAGGTGCTTCACAGCACCACTGAGCTGGTGACTCCTCCTCCTTCTAGTGGGAGTTCCAGGTGGGACCATGCGAAGGGATTGAGATGGGAGATCACCTCTGGATCGCACGCTTCATCCTCCATCGGGTGTGCGAAGACTTTGGTGTCATCGTGTCCTTCGATCCCAAACCCATCCCTGGGAACTGGAACGGTGCCGGCTGTCACACCAACTTCAGCACCAAGAACATGAGGGAAGACGGAGGTCTCAAGTAAGTTTGTTTTAGTAGCCTCTGTTTGTTAGGCAGCAGGTTGGACTTGGTGGCAGTGAGCTTTCTGCAGAGCTTTTGCCCACATGGGGGATGTCGCTCTGGTGCTTGGTGTTATGTTTGAGCCTTTCTTCTGGATTTCTTTATTTTGTTAATGATTACTCCCATCTTGGTGTTGGGTGGGAAGTTCAGCCAGCAGTACAGCTTCATTGATGGAAGCATGGGCGGCCAAGATGCAGGTATTCGTAACGGGCTGTCCAGCTCTTGACCTGCCAGTGCTGCAGACAGATAAACTCAGCATAGGCCTTTTTCATATAACCATGATGGAAGAGAAAGACCATTTGCTTCTGCTTAGGCCAGGCTGTCCTGTTAAACAGGACAACCCTGGAAACCAGTAGTTCCTTGAAGGGACTGATGTGCTGGGCACCTTGCAACACTGGGTTGCAGCGGTGCTCCATGAAGGGATTCCTCCTGGCAGCTGTATTTTCTTGCCTTAATTGTTGGAATGCCCTGAGATGATGAGCCAACCTGTAACTGTGTGGGCTTCCCAGGTAGAGACTTGTGTATGAAGAAATCTCCCCTCTCGGAGAAGGTTCCCCAGGCAATGTGCCTGTGGGATTTGGCCATGGGTCAAACTGTTGGTGTCTCACACATGGCACTCTCGAAGGACCCTTCTCAGGCCATGGGGATCCTTTTACAAGAACCAGCCTGGGTCAGAAGTAGGAGTGGAGAGAAGCCCTGTGTTGAGGCGATCAGAAAAATGCGCTGTAGGGCATAGGCTTCATCATGAAGTGGCTTGGGGACAGCAGTTAATCTGCTGTGGTGTGGATGCAACAGTCAAGAGTGGCTCAGCTTGTACTGTCCCTCAGACGCTCACTGTGTCTTCCTCTCTTCCCTGCTGCCTTTGCAGGCACATTGAAGAGGCCATCGAGAAGCTGAGCAAGCGTCACCAGTACCACATCCGTGCCTACGACCCCAAAGGGGGGCTGGACAATGCCAGGCGCCTGACGGGTTTCCACGAGACATCCAACATCCACGAGTTCTCTGCTGGTGTGGCCAACCGTGGTGCCAGCATCCGCATCCCCAGGAATGTGGGCCATGAGAAGAAGGGCTACTTCGAGGACCGCCGGCCCTCCGCCAACTGTGATCCTTATGCTGTGACAGAGGCCCTCGTCCGCACGTGTCTCCTCAACGAAACCGGAGACGAGCCCTTTGAGTACAAGAACTAAGCAGACTGCGCCCACAAACATCGCCTTCCCCCCACACTTCCCGCACCCCTAAACTTCCCTTCTAGATGTAATCCCAAGAGTGCAGGATAACACACTTTGTGTCTCAGTAACTCCTGTTGTCTTGAGGTGGGGAGGAGGGCAAATTTAGTTTTATCGGTATCTGTTTGTCATTGACTCTTCAGAAGACAAGAGGAGGAGAAGGTGTTAGAGAACTTTTAACCACTGTTTTATTTTTTGTCTAAAATTCATGTGTACATCTGATGGGATCCAGGGGCTTCCAGGGACAGACAGAAAGTGAGTAGGCGAGGGGAAAGCTTCAACTATAGCTGACTCCCCCAAGAGTCAAGTTTGGGGTGTTAGCCCCACTGCTGACCCTCTGCAGGCTAATGGTTCTCTAAGGTTGGCTCCCTTCTGCCGAGAAGGGAAGGTGGGAGTGGTGATGGAGCCCCAGGTGCTCCTGCCTGTATGGTGCTGTGGGGAGACCTTTACCCTCTGGCCACTCTGAGGCTGCTGGGAATCTTCTGGCATTGAGCTCAGCGTAGGAACGTTGAGAACTCCTGGTTCTGTCACTGGAAGTCGACTGGTCTCTGGCTCATAACACAGAGTGAAGTAGTATTTTTCTATTTAAATATAAAAATGAACAAAAAAATTATATATGAAAGTGTTGTTTGTTGTTTTTTTTTAAAAAAGAGATGATGTTCCAGTGACTCACCTGGCTAGAGCAGAGCTCCTGAGGATGCTGTTGAAGGGCCTCCAGGTGGGACTGAGGGTGAGCTTGGAGGGCTCAGTGGAGGAGACTCAGATGAGATTTGTTTCAGCGTGGAGTGGAGTTTGCAGGAGGCAGTTCCCAGACCCGGAAAGCCTGCAGAAGCATTTATCACTGAAACTTGAGCAGCTGCAACGTGCTCATGAGTGTGTAGATCAACGGGGAAAAAGGTGTCCTGAACTAGGAGTTGACCGGTCAACTTAACCGTGTTCTGGACAGAGCTGTGAGTGTTTTACTTTTCCAGCGGGGCTAGCATGTCACTAAAGCAGGGCTTTTGGTAAAAGAAAAAAAAAAAGGTCTAGATTTTTTTTTTCCATAATATTCTTAGTTTCTAAAACTGAATGGTTTTACAGAGACCGTTGATGTCACTGTTGTGTCCTGGCTCTGGGGCTGCCTCCCACCCAGCTGTGATGGGGGCAAGGAGAAGGGAGAGGCCACCGTCCCTCCCAGCCAGCCCTGGCACCTCCCAGCTCGGGCTGGGGGCTTCAAATGTTCTGGGATTTTACACTTGGGTATCTTAGATGGTGCCAGTTCTATTCCGTTGTATTTGGACTTCTTCTGAATAGGCTGTTGGACTTTTTTTTTTTATAATTAAAAAAAAAAGAACAAAACCTTAATTCTGACTTCTGCCTCCTTTCTGTAATTCATCTTGGCAGCTTTTGTGTGTGTGTGTGTGTGTGTGTGTGTGTGCATTGCCTTCACCGTTTGAAGGGAATTTGACCCTGCTAGTGCATTGGCTTGGACTTTTCATTGGTGGGGTGGGTTTTGTTGAGGCAGGGGTCTTGCAATCCGTGTGTGCTCTCTAGAAAAGGGGCTGTGGATTCTCCAGTGGGTGATGGTCTGGCTCTGACTGGAGCAGGGTTCTCTTGGGATGGGAAAGGGCCTGGGCTTGTGGGTGTCTATGGGGAGGGTTATGGAGTGTTCGTGCACATCCCTGGCCTCCTTCACAGAAATTCTACACAGAAGTTCATGAAAAAACCAGCTTTTAGGAAGAGGACTCTTTCACACTGTCCCTGTGGAGAAAATGCTGCTCGTGGACCCTTGGTATGAAGCCAGGCATTTAGAAAAGTAAGCAAGGTAGTAGAAATGTGTCACGTTGCTCCCACAGTCCTCTATTCAGCTTGTGGTGCTACCTCCCAGCTCCCCACGAGCTGCCTTCTTCAGGGGTGGATGCTTTAGCTGTTCCCATCTCTAATTAACCCCACACAAGCGTCCCGCTGGGCTGACAAGACCGTTCCTGCCATGACATTTTTGTGGACCAAGTGGTCTTTAGCATCTCCTTTCTGAGAAATGTTCAAGGCAGCACCTTCCTCGCCACGGTCCCAAAATTACCCTATGTCTCTGTGCCGATGCAGGGTGGAGTGTCACCAGAGCAGAAGTGAAGCGGACACCATGTACTTTCCTCCGATTGCAACATGACCGTGAGGATGTGGGCCTCTGGGCTGGAGCAGGGACACTGCAGCCAGAAGAAATCCACGCTGCTCTGGGGTAACTTGTGAGCCCAGAAACATTGGGGTTTTCTGGTGATTTGGGTGCAGGAGGGGGCAGCTACTGTTCATTCTGCTCTTCCAAGAAAACGTTACAGAGGGAAAAATGGATTACACCTAAACTAAGGAAACTTCTGTAAGGGCATTTGACATGTCGACGTTAATTTAGGACAGGGGTTTGGTGCTTAATGATTCCTCTTGTTCTCGGCTGAGAAAGCATTTATCCACTCACTTCACAGTTACCCAACTGGAAACGAGGTCAGAACAACAAAGTGTGCTGCAAAGTGGCTTTTCAGATGACTATTAAAAATATATGCTAAAATAAAATTACAGTGAATTAGAAGGGGGGAAAAAAATCCCTCCTTTCCTCTAGACATTGTTTTCTTTTTGTCTAAAGCCTGCTTGCGGAGTCTGCTTTGCAGTCACCAAAAGAGTACGCAGGGTAGAAAGGCCTCCTCTTAAGGCTGTGGGGCTCTTGTGAATTGAGCCCGATACCTTCAGCTGAATTTACTGCTTATGCATTTATAGAAAACATTTGGACTTCTAATCTGAATCTCTCAGGGGGGAAGCAAATCCCTTTCTCTATTTACTCACACATCCCTAAAATGCAAGCAACAACACACAAATGTTCACTGAACACAAGAAAGTGCAAGTCCTAAAGGGTTTGCTAGGCCTGCTGGGACATGGGGAACCAGTCTGAATGAGGCAGCCAAAAATAGCACCAGCTTTTTGAAGTGCCTTTTAATCAAACACCAGCTTTGGAGACAAGGCTGCCTCAAAACAATTAGTAGATCTGCTGCCATGTCAGGCTTTTTCCCCATAACTGAATTTTAAGGCAATCAAAATCAGATTAGCCATAGCTTCCTTCAAATACAGCCTGCAGCAGATGAGCTAATCGAGATCACACTTGGAGCTGCTTTCTACATGGGCTGTGCCAGCCCAGTTACAAGACTTTTCCTGAAAAGTCTGATGAATCAGGTGTGTCTGGTTGGGTTTCTTCTGCCCCTTCACCCTGATGCTGCTCCAGAACCCACATACCACTTCCCTTAATTATTGTGTGTGTGTTTTTAGTGCTATTTGATCTTCTGAGATGACCCTGTTTGGTAGGTTAGCCTTTGCATCCTTATACAGCCTCTGACTGTGAGCACCTCTCCCTTCATGAACACAGCTTCTGGAGGGTAAGTCAGCCCCTCTTAGGTGGGTAAGGTTTTGCTGAGCTGTCTTTTGGATCTCATTACCTGGACGAGTGGCGGTGGTAGTGGTGGTGGTGAGCGACATTTCTTCTTGTTGCTAAGCAAAACTGTTTCTATTTCGCTGAGTCTGTGTTTTTCCCTTTTCCTGGGATGTTGATACTGGCCTGTGTCACCATCCTGCGTCTCCTTCTGCCCCTGGAGGATGGGAAGGGACGGTCTCAGGAATGCAGCCAGATGCAGACCACCGAGGGGGTGATTTGCAGAGCTCTGCAAGAGCCTGTGTTTGTGCTTGAACCTCGTGTTATCAGAGCAGCCCTGCTCTGCTCTCTTGAAATGCCTCCTGGAGTTCCAGCAGCTCCTCCGGTGTGGCGTTCAGAGACGTCCCAGCTGAGATCTACACTTGCTGCGTTGTGAGGGGGTGCAGAGCCATAGAAGAGGGGCTGGAGGTCCTTTGCCTTCTTGAAGGAAGCCAGGGCATGCTCTGGAAAGGTGCTGGAGCCCAGCCTGCTGGGAACAGCTCAAGTGTGGCCGGTTGGTAGCTTCCTGTGCGACCGAGATGAGAAAGCTGGTGGAGCAGGGAGAGGAACCCTGCTGTCACGGATGTCAGTAATTCAGCTTCAGCTGAGCTGGGATTTCATCCCACTTGCTCGGTTACTGATTAAACTGAGGACAGCCACTTAGGAAACAAGTGGGAGCTCTTGAGAGGGGAGATCTCCTTAGGTCTGCCTGGCTTCCCTGGCCAGCGGGATGCAGAGTCAGACCTGGGGTGGCCTGTGAGTGGGCCCTCCACCCAAAAGCGGTTCTCCTGGCTCTTCTGCTTGGACTGACCACCTATGTGCAGTGCCTGCTTTCACCATGCTGGCTCTTGTGGCCTTTGAATTGAGTCTTGACTACCTTTGGTTGCTGATAAAGGGGCCTGTCCATCTGTGGGATTTACAGTACAGAGAGATGAATAGCTTTTCCCAAAGTGATGTAGATTATGTGAGGTATCAGTCACTGAGAAATGACCCAAATGGATGGCTAAGGGTGTCACTTGTTAATTGCCTGGTTCATGATGAAATGGTGAGCTCAGTTTGCTCTTGTGACTTTGCTCTGAGCCAGTGCTGGGTGTTTTGGGACTGTCCCCCCCCTCTCATGCAATGATCTTTGATGAGAACATGTGGAGGAGGGGTCTGGGCAGACCCAACCCTGCTGCTCTCCTCACTGAAGCATCTTCAGGGCCTCCATCCCCAGTGGGAGATGGTGTGGATCAGAGCCTCTCCCAGCTGCTCCTGGAGGTGTCTGGCCTGTGTTTGGAAGAAATAAGGTCTGGGTCTGCATGCTTCTTGTGGGTTAGCCCCCAAAACCTGTGGTGGCCTTGCACACAGAGCATGCATGGGTTGACCTCAATAGGAACTTGCCTGGATGGGGAGAAACCCAGGACCGGAAGGGGAATTTGAGAGAAAATCCATGTTCTGTGACTCCAGAATGAGCACCAAGGCTGCAGCTCTTCACCATCTTGTAGGAGAATCGGGCCCTTGTCTTTGCTTCTCCTAAGCCTTCTCCCTCACTGCTCCTTTCCTCCCTTCTCCGCTGAGATGGTACAAGGCTGCTACATGTGCTGGGGTGGTGGTGCAGGGGGGGCAGCTCAGGCTTTACCTCAGCCAAAAAATTGTCTTTTTCTT